AGAGTGTGTGAATAAAATGTATATGCAGCGTGTGTGAAATGTGAATATAATTTATATGCAAACTTATGGTTATTGCTGGAAAGAATTTGCGTACATGTGAACAATATATGTATGCAGTGTGTGTGAAATGTGAGTATAATTTATGTCATGTCTCTTAACATACTGTATATGAATTGTGTGTGGTATTTGAACTATGGTATTGCTGCAATGAAAATTGAATTTGCATGCACATGAACTCGCTATACCAATAGTTCTCTGCCCGCAACCCCAGCTCCTACTTCGAATGATAGAACGATTCGAAAGGGGCATACGTACGGCTTTGACTAAACGACTAACTAAGGCTAACGGAATAACAAAATCGGAAGGAGACGTAATCGAAAGAAAGCTTGGTGGGTGTGAAGTGGTATGAAATGTGGACTATTGAGTTCTGTATGCTTTTAGAATTATAACTGAATGAAAATTGAATCATATGGGATGTGAAGTGTGTATGAAATGTAACATAATGTTATTTTATAGGAAAGGAAGAAACACACACACTGGTCTTCATGTACCAACATGAATGTGTTTGTTGATCTTTTGACTATTCTTGGGCAAGAGAGATTTCAACAATTTCTCGATCAAACTCCTTTTGGTATATTCTATGAGATGCACCATATAAAGATCCAATGTCAATTACTTAGGCATCTGATGATTCTTGAAAAACAAAATGTTTGAGACGACATGTTTGTTATTAAAATAAACGGTACAAAATTACGATTCGAAATCAAGGAATTTTCAATAGCAATAAATTAGAAACGTCACCTCCATAAGTGTTTCTTTATCCTTGTAAACATGATTCTCATCTATAAATAAATTAGAAACGTCACTGATTACTCCATTGTCTTCATCAATACTTTCATCTACAACTTCATCTACATTCACTCCTACTAATCGGATGGCGTTGTTGGAATATAAATCAAAGTTCGTTGATGTTATAGCAACATCAGAAACTCTCCTATTCACAACAACTAGAGAATGCGGATTATCCATTGCTATATTCTTCAATGTTATGCACAATGGATATTTAGTAAAGAAATCCAAATTAACTTTCTTTTGATCTAAGAAAACACGCACACCAACATCATTGTGTATTCTAACAAGTGGGCATCAATCATTTACTAAATATTTTATCTCTAAATCATTTATAGTAGTATCTATCATAAGCTGCGATGTTATCACGCTTACTAGACCATTATAATGACTAGAAGAATCATATAAAACCCCTTCCATTTGAAAATCCACATAATGCCCTGTTACGTTAAAAAAAAAGGTATCAGATTATAAACAAACAATTCGAAATACAAATATCATTCAGACAGACAGAATATTACAAAATAATTTTTATATTTAATTAAACAAACAATTCTTACAAATATCATTCAAATAGTACATTCCAAGCACATTCATACTACTATAATACATAAATCATACAACACATACTTATTTAATAACAAAAAACTTTATACACAAATGTCTACATAAAATTTCACCATCAATACAACATTAAAAAACTTTTCATACATTTCGTCAGACACGACTACAAACGAAATTCATACTTTCTTAATATACATTTCATACACATGTCGCATAGACAGTTATGATACCAACATTCAAACACACTTAATACACATTTCATA